AGTTTTCTCAGCAGATAAAGTCCCTGAGAGGCTCGATGCCATCGTGGTGGGCAGCGGCATCGGGGGCCTGGCAGCTGCTGCGCTGTTGGCGAAGGCGGGCAAGCGGGTGCTGGTGCTGGAGCAGCACGGGAAGCTGGGGGGCTGCTGCCACACCTTCAGCGAGAAGGGCTTCGAGTTTGACACCGGTACGGCCCCCACCGGCATTTGGGGTCCCAGATTCACCTCTGGCTCAAAGGTGGTGGTGGGGCGCTCAGCCACAGGGTGGGGGCACTGGGGAGAGGGGGGGATGACCGTGGCAGGAATCGCACCCAAAACACCCGTGGGGACCCAGAGCGGGCATCCCCAGCACCCGCCCCGCATTATACAAGCGCTTTTTCTGCCTGAGCGACGTGGTATCACACACCTTCCCTTGCCCTAAAATCCTCCTGCTGACGGATGAGGTGCTGCTGGTCACGCCCAGTTGCTGTAATGCCAAAACCCTATAAAATTCCCCGTATCCAGCTCAGCCCCTATAGAATTTCCCGTACACGTCTCCCTTGGCAAACTCCTTCCAGCAAGACAAAGTCCAGCTCTGTACATCCCTTGAACTGCATGGGATTAATTATTTACGGCAATACAGAAAGGAAAAATATCAATGTTTAACAAAATTCCTAAAAGCTGCTTAAAAACACAACAGCGAGCGCTTGGTTTTCCCTTTGACCTAAAGTGGAAGGCAGGTGTTTCCCAGCTTTTCCCTTTCCCCTCTGTACAGAGCTGCTGGGGTGGGGGTGGAGAAATAAGAGGAGGGTCCTGTGCATGCCAGGGGTATGTGATAGGATGTAAAAAAAAAAAAGGAAAAAAAAAACCAAAATAAACCAAAAATACATCTTCCAGGTATCCACTATGTGGGGCAGATGCAGGAGGGCTCCATCATCCGTTTCATGGTGGACCAGCTGACGGAGGGGCAGCTGGAGTGGGCTCAGCTACCAGCCGTCTACGACACTGTCGTTTTGGGGGAGCCTGGCAGCGGCAGGACATATCGCATCTATTCGGGGAAGGAGGAATATTTCCAAGGCCTGAAGGAGCAGTTTCCCGGGGAGGGGGCCGCTATCGATGAGTTTGAGCGGCTGGTGAAGGTAGAGGGTGCTTTGGCTTCACCGCAGGGAGGGGATGGGGGGATTTTTTTGGCTCTGGTCCCTCTCTGCAGGGGTCAAGCGAGGAGGGGAAATTTCCACTCCCCCCCCGACACCCAGATATTGGGCAACTGCAGAGAATAGCGGCTTTCAAAATCCGCCCCCACCTGGCTCCAAAAGCATTGGGAAACATCAAAAATCTCCCTTTTCTGCCTCAAAAACCCGGCGTTGCACCCAGAGTTGTAACTCCACTCCCCGTGGATGCTTGTGGTCCCACGGGATGTGCTGGGACCCCCATGAGACCTGACACACACCCCCTCCCCAAACACCATGGGATGATGCTCTGGGACCTCTCAGCCAGTGGGGTGATTGCAATTGTTATCGAAACAGTGCTAAATTAACATTAATTATGCTTCAAAACCACTGCAAAGGCTGAGAGCCTGCACTGCAGGGGAGCTTCTTGGGGGAGGAAGCACTCACCTTGCCCATGCCTCGCTGGGATGCAGCTCTTAAGAGATGCTGTCGCCTCTCTGCTGGCCAAGCAATAAATTTAAGGGGAAAAAGATGCTTTTGAGCATCTTTCCAGCCCACCCTGGGGTTGTCCACAGCCCCCCTGGCGGCAGATGCTCAGCAACATCCTCCCCTCCTGCAGAGTGTCGGCAGAGGGACCATGCTGGTGGGTGTCTTGAAAATGATCCCCCGGGTGCTGGCCACGCTGCTGTGCCGCTCGGGGCTGCTGCCACGGCTCAGCCCCTTCTGCCGGCTGGCATCACACAGCCTGAAGGAGGTGGTGGATGGTCTCACCACCAACCACGAGCTCAGGGCCGTCTTCAGCTACATCTTCCCCACCTACGGTAGGTAGCCAGGAGGCTTCAGGGTGCCATGGAGGTGAAGTTAAACCCTTTAGGAACAAAAAAAAAAAGCAAGAAAACCCTTTTTTCTTTGCTTTTATAAGGGTGATGGCTGTGCGGTTTGTGGGTGAGGGATGCTACGTGCATGGATGCTCTGCCAGCATCCTTGTCCCCAAGCCAGCAGCTGGTTGTCCCTGTTGCTAGCTTTCATCTCTTTCCCTCCGCATCCTTCAGCTTCACAGCATGGCAGCATTGCTCCTCTTACACAAAGGAACATCTACCCACCCTTGACCTTGTGCTGGCACGCACCACCCTGGCCTCACTGTAACACTTTCACCCTGAGCCTTCCCCTTCCCTTCCATCTGCCCTGGGGGTTTGCTCGTGGCCCCCAGTTGCAAAAGAGCCACGGGCTTTGCCACCCATGTCTGATGCCCTCCCTGCTCCTCCGGGTACTGATGACCCATCGTTTCTCATTCCATCCTTTCTTACAGCATCGTGTCCAGCCGAGGGCAAGGCGTTCCTCATCCTAAAAACTTCAGGATAAGCCACAAAACCACGATTCACCACAAACCCATCTTAAGCTGCCCCTTTTTTCAGGCGTGGTCCCCTCGAAGGCCAGCTTCTCCATGCACAGCATCCTGGTGAACCACTTCCTCCATGGCGCGTGGTACCCCAAAGGGGGGGCTGGGGAAATTGCCTTCCACATCATTCCCGTTATCCGGAAAGCTGGAGGAAATGTGTTTGGAAAGGCAGCAGTGCAGACGATCCTGCTGGACACCGAGGGCAAAGCCTGCGGTGAGTGCTGGGACAGGATGGGGCACGTGTAGCTTCTCCCCACCATGGTGTTGCTTTTTAACCGAGCCATTCCTCCCCACCTCACCTTTCCCTTCCAGGTGTGAGCGTCAAGAAAGGCCAAGATTTGGTGAACATCTTTGCTCCTGTTATCATTTCGGATGCTGGGATCTTCAACACCTACGAACGGCTCCTGCCGGCGGAGGCGCGGGCTTTGCCTGGTAAAATGGCAGCGTTGGGTTTCATTGGGGTTATGGCATTAATCCCCCTCTGAGCAACATCAGAAACTGGCTTCTTTATAATTATTTCTTAGAAATCAGCAAAAACCCATGGCTCGTGTTGCAGCATTCAAAACCATCACTGGCCACATGTTTCTTTGCAGGGTTTTTAATCGAGCCTAAATTAGTTTGCCAAAACTAGCCATAGTTAGTAAAGCCCTGACTTGCTGCTCAGTTTCCCAAAAAAACACAGTGTAGCCCCCCAGAACTTGTGAAAGCTGGTGAAAAGTCCATGTAAAGCTGGGTTTAGTGCTGCCACAAAATCTACTTGCTGCTTTGGAAGAGGCATGGCTGGGTAGAAGAAGGCACAGCTGGGTGAAAGTGGGCATGGTTGGGTGGAAGCTTTCTGGGCAATGCTATGGTCCTGGTCTACAACCATTCAATGTTTGCAGAGCAGGAGAGCATTTGAATCTGAGAAGGTCATTAAATCCAGCAAAAGCTCAAGCCAAGGGTACCCTAAACCATCCCCTATAGTAAATCACAGTGCCACTGCCTTCCTTAGAGTTTGCAGGAGCTGCAGTCCCACCCCTTGAGCACACACAGGATGTTTTGAGATAAACCAGTTTTATAAGCTAACATGCGAGCAACGTAGATATGGGGAGGGCTTCTTCTAGGAGAAACCACTTCTCTGTAGCTGAGGATCCCAGAAAATACTAATTTTCCTCTTCTTTCCTCCGTATCACAGAGATCCAGTCTCAGCTTCGCATGGCAACACATGGCGAAGGGGGTTTCACCATCTTCGTAGGTCTTAATGGCTCGAGGGAAGAGCTGGGGCTGGAGCCCACCAACTACTTCATGTACCCAGGAAATGACCTGGATGAAATGTAGGTTGGGCTTCACCTCAGACATGCTTCATTAAGCGTAAGGAGATGGGTGGTGACTCAGAAAATGCTCTCGGCAGATCCTTGCTGCACGGGGATTTGGCCATAACAAGTATTCAGGGAAAGGTTTTCAGCAAGACCCACCCAAATCCTTGCATCTCTCTGCAGAATGAATCGCTACCTGGCTTCTTCCAGAGAAGCAGCTGCCAAGAACATCCCTGTCATATTTGTCACCTGCCCATCGGCCAAGGACCCCACCTGGGAAACAAGGCACCCAGGTACAGGCTGAAGCCCAACCATGAACACTTGTGAGCAGCTTGAAAACTCTTGCTGGGGTTTGGTTTGTTTGATGACTGCAAATGAGGAGTTTCTCCTAAAATAGCCATGATCAAAGCTGCTGAGCAGGTTGCTCATGGAAAGTGGTCTTCAAGATAACTGGACGAAGGATATGGGACCACAGAGACCTGGGGACATCCCAAGGGTTTGCATGGGGAGGGTTGGGTTTGTGGCAAGGAAATGGTGGCATGAGGGTGGTCAGAGGGACAACTGCCCCGACCTTGTCCTGCTGCAGGTAAATCCACGCTGGCCATCGTGACCTTCACCAAATATGAGTGGTTTGAGGAGTGGAAGGATGAGCAGGTCAAAAAACGGGGAGATGATTATGAGGAGTTGAAGAAGACCTTTGTGGACACCATCATGCAGGTTGTCTTCAAGCTCTACCCTCGCATTGAGGACAGGGTGAGGAAACCTGGGGTTTGCAGGTCCTCCAGTTCCTCTCCTGGGTTCCGTCTACCCAGGCCCGTCTTGCAAACACAGGAGCAGGGTCCGGGTGTGCTGGACATAAGGTCCAGCACCAACCCGTCGCTGCTGCCTCCTGACCACACATGCAAGCTGGGGGTACAATGATCCTCCAGGACCATCCTGGGACCAAACCTGGCCAGAACCACCATGCAAGGGTCTGCAAGGAAACCCGTCGCAGCCTGTACCCCACAAAAACAGCTTTCTGGAGCACAGTGTGACACCCCACACCATCACACCTACCCCAGGCAGACCACGTTGTCCCCTTGTCCCCCCCAGATCGAGTACATCTCTGGAGGGACGCCCCTCACCAACCAGCACTACATTGCCAGCCCCAAGGGCGAGATCTACGGCATTGACCACAGCATCGCCCGCCTGCAAGCTGAAGCCATTGCTACCGTGAGGGCACAGACGGCTGTCCCCAACCTCTACCTGACAGGTACCATGGCCACCACCCAGACACCACGCTTTCAGATTAGGACACCTCTGGGGAAGCAGGATACAGGGGGAGAAAACCTTCAGTCCTTCAATGAAATAAGGGGACAAGCTGCTGCCATGCCATAGGGCAATGCAAGAGCCGCTGGAGCATGTCTAAGTGGAGCTGCATGGTCCCAACAGGAGGAGGAAAAGGCTGTGCCTCCTCCAGCTCCTGGACGTTGTCTCCTTGCCCAGCGCTGATTTATTTTAGCTGGGCAGCATGAGACCCTTTCCCTGCTGGGGAGAAGGAAGGGGTCAAACGGAGGGGTTTCATGGGTTCAAACCCAAGGGATGGCGTGCGGGAAGCTGGAGGGTGGGGAGAGCAGATGATGGATGGCAATGGTGGTGTCCAGCAGCATTGAGGGTCAGTTGGGAACAGAGAGCGCGGGCTGCCCACAGGTACCCACCACAGCCACTGCCATCACTGTCTTCCACTCTCTTCCAGGGCAGGATTTGTGCCTGGGCGGCTTCGTGGGAGCTCTGCAAGGAGCTTTCATCTGCGCCAGCGCTGTCCTCAAGCGCAACATCTATGTCGACGTGGCACAGCTGAAAAAGCGCACGCAGGCTACCGATGCTAAGAAGAAGGACTAACACCTGCTGTCCCACCAGCCAGGACCTCCCTTTCCCCCCAGCTCACCGGATCACCCCCTTATTTTCTGCTGTAAATCACCTGTAGCACATCCTTCTCTAACACGAAGCCAAAGGATTACAGCCCAGGAAGACACCATTCCCATTTCCAGCCAGCTTGCCTTGGACCTTACCTACCTAGAGCTCACCTCCTTCCACCACAACATCCGCCACTAGTGAGTAAAAGCCAGTGCTGATCCCTGGCCGCCCTTTTGAGGCTTCCCTCCCAGCATAGGGAAGAGGTGCTCCAAGAGCTGCCGTGTGCAGCAGTGGCCAGGAGAGAAGTCAAGGCAACCCCAAAAACCAGGCTGCACCAGAAGGCAAAACACAACAGCTTCTACTAACAACACCCATGGTCACTTGATCCCCCCCAGTGTCCGAGAGCTGCCTGGACCATTGGAAGAGCATCAACCTTCACCTGCAACCCCCAGACCTGCTGGGTCAAGGGGAGCAAGCCCCATGGGGATGCTTTCCCCCTTTCAGACAGCAGCTTTGGCATCGACTTGGGCTCCTGAAGCTTCACTGGGCTCATTAAGCTCCATGTGGAGCTCGGCAGCCCTGGGGGTTGCGGAGGCAGAGGAAGCAGCACCTCCCCAAGACAGGGCCGTGCATGGGCTTGTCCGGGCAGCATCAGGCAGGTTTGGTAAACCCCTGCAAGCTGCTGGACGGGCACCGTCTGCATTTCAGCAAGGGGGAAAAAAATCACACCAACCCAAGCCCCATCGCTGTGTTTTAATGAAAGTGCCCAGATGAGGCTCACAGACATGGTCCTTCAGGAAGGTGCCAGCTCCTGGCTCAATGGGTTGGTGGAGTAAGTGGGTCCTTCTGGCAGGCCAAGGCCAGGCGTGGAGGGATTTAAGCCAGATTTAAAGCTCTTTAAAAGCAATGGTGCTTGCTAGCTGTACAGTGCTGTCAAAGTCATACCTTGCTGCAGCAGAGTAGCAGGACCATGATGCAGCCCCTCAGCCCTGCAATGCTGCTGATATTTTGGTGCTGCTTTACCCCCCATCTCTCAGAGACGTGCGACGGTGCAAACACCCACTCCTTTAGCATTAAAAAAAGCATAGCCTTTCTGTCTGCTGGGAAAAGCTTGGGAAGACGATCAAAGCCCTCTACGAATGGGAAGGGAAGCACAAGACCAGAAAGAAATAAAATAATAACAAGCATCTTGTGATTCGCACCTTGTGATGTAGGATCAGCAGGCCTGGGGTTAGGGTGACGTGAGAGGGCTGCTTTTCAACACTCCAGGTCAGCAAGTTTGGGAAGGGAAGGAGAGAAAGGATGCAGCTGAGATTCATCCTTGTGAGCAGGTTGCTGGGGTCTATTCCTGCACCAGCACAGACTGCTTTTGGGGAGGAATAATTGCAGAAGTGCCATAATTGGGTACTCCAAGCAGGTAAAACCAGCTGGCAAGTGCCTACCGCCTCGCTGGGAGTGGGCAGGGTTAGGCAACACTGTCCAAAAAGCCCTGCGAGGAGCTCGTGGGGGAAGCTGGAAGAGGCCGTTTTCCCTGGGGTTAGCGATGGGAAGCAGGAATTGCCTGGCTTTTGGGGGAAACCAGGACTCAGAGACAGAGTGAGAAAGGCAGGGAGGGATCGCCTCATCGTTCCTGGTGCTTCCCGCAATGCAGGTGTTCCCATCCCCCATCACTCTCCAACCTCCCCCACCATTCCTTTGGAGAAAAAAAAAAACAGCAACAAAATCCTTTTTTTTTTTTTCCTCCTAACATATGCCCCACATGCTCCAGGCTGGACAGTGCCAGCCCAGCCCTCTTGCAGCTGGCGATGCCCGCCGAACCCAGGGGTGAACCATGGCCCTTCTCCTACCCCCGTGACTCATGCCCAGGTGCCATCTTGCAGGTGACAGGGCATTGCTCCTGCCTTGCCCTTGAAAATCAGCTGCGCCAGCATTGAGTCAGCCAGCGGAGCAGGATATGCTCTCCTGGACTTCCTGAAGGAGGACTCGGGGCTCACCGCTAGACAAGCCTGAGCTCCCTGCTGGCGCAGTGGGGGTTTGGAGACCACCTACCCATCCGAGGGGACATCCCAGTATGTCCCAGCCAAGGCAAAGCCGGGCTCTTGTCATCGTCAACACCGATTTCTGCAGCAGCAATGGTGATGTGGTGTTTGGGACCCGGAGAGGAGCCAAGAGGGAAGCGGAAAAGCTTTCCAACGTACTCTCACGGCTCAACTACAAGGTGAAACTGATGCATAACAAGACAGCCAAGGAGATAGAAGACCTTTACCAGCAAGGTATGCGTCCCCCTGCCAGCCCCTAAACCCCCTCCTCATCTTACCCCAAGCCCAGCCATCTCTCATATCCCACCTCTCGGTCTAAGTAACCTCCACGACACCCTGAGTCGATGCTCGAAGGCATTGCTTTGGCTGTGTCGTTGCAGAATGCTGCTGCGAGCACGGGGAGTACTTTGTGAGTGTCATCTCCAGCCATGGAAAGGAAGGGTTCATATTTGGTTGCGACTCAGAGCCGGTTAAACTGACCCGGATTTTCCAGATTTTATCCTCAGAGAAGCGCCTGGTGCTCAGCAAAATACCCAAAATCTTCTTTATCCAGGTAACACAGCTACTGGATGATAATCTGATCCCTTTTTTGCTAAGTTTGTGCAGAATTAGACTGGCACAAGCATGAGGCTTGAGGTTGCTGCGGGTATGTCTGTTTTAATTGTGGATTTTGCTACACCCATGTAAGAGCTCGATCCTTTCGTTGCTCCCCAGCTTCCCACCACAACCCTCCAGACCTCTTTTTTCATGCTTTCACTGATTTTGAGGTTTCTTTGCTCACTGCAGACACTGCTCTCACAGCCTGTCATCACCCATACATGTGGCCCTTCTTTGATAAACAGCCTTGGCCTTTCCCCAGTGTCTCCAGACAGGAGCATTTCTCCCAGTGATTTGCACCCTCTGGACTGCCTGTGCTGAAACCAAATTGTTCACCATGATATACGACATTGCTGGGATCAAATATTCCTCCCAGACACCATCAGGATATAGATGAATCAGTAAAAACTGCCTTCAGATCCCATCACTGTGATATTTGGGCACAGCAAAGTCCTGGGGTAGGGCTGGGAGAAGCCCAGCTGTGAACTGGTGATGTAGTAGGGAAAAAAATAAAGCCCACATCTGGTTCCCAAGCAGCAAAGCAGAGAGGAGTGTGAACATGGCCTTGCAGGAAAGGAGCCCTGGAAGTATGCTCTAATACTGATCTGACAGGGAGGATTAGATCACTGAACAAACAAATAATTCAGCAATTGGATGGATACCAGCAGATAGTGTGAGCTCTGCAAACATTATGCAAATACACAGAAATCTTTTCACCTGAAAGCAAGTATAAATGACTCACAGCATTCGTTTTCTTCTGGTAAGGGGCTTGGCTGCTGTTCAGGAAGCAGTGACAGCCGGGGGCATCCTCCAGGCAAGCCAACAAACCCGGAGACTGGTCCGGGTACCTCGATCAGCAGGCAAAAGCTGTGCTCCTGCTGACGAACGCTGTCCTCGTAGAGCAAACACCGTAGGGCTGAGGGTGCCCAGAGCCTAGGCTGGAAGAGAAGGACTGCTTCCTCTCAGCATTACCATGGCTCTCGGGTCCCCATGGCTCCCGGTGGCCTCCATCCACCTCTCTGGGCTGTTCAGTGCCAGGGTGTTGCAGCCCATTTGCTTGCAGGCATCTCTGCGGGCCACATCCTGAGCAAGGATTTACTGCTGGCATTTGGCAGGTAGTTTGCACGGGGAGAGGTGAGGACATGCTCCCCTCTCCCTAATGCTGGGAGATGTCCACCGCTGGCATTTGGTCTGGTCCCAACCAACATGTCACAGCAGAGGTGGCTCCAGGTAGGTGTGAAACATGCCCTCAGAGCTCTAGTCCCTCTCCAGCGCCTTCCCAACACCAGCCCAGTACTCCATCCCTGCAAGAAAGACCAAACCATCACGTAGAATAGAGGACTGTGCATGAACTGGGCTGCCTGCAGGCTGAGACCCAAGGGGAATCCCTGCCAGCACCTTCCCAGTGGACTCTTGTGTTTCCAGGTGTATTTCTGGGTTCGCACATGCAGCACCGCATTTTCCATGGAGGGGAGGGGTACATGCAAAGAGAAGGGGAACCAGGTTCACGAGAAATGCATGGGGAAGAGAGGAGGGAGCCCCATCTCTAGGCTTATTGCAAGAGAGGCCTGGAAAAGCTGAGCTGCAGTGGATGAGAAGGGAAGAGGATGGTGGACGGATGAGATGGGAAGGGTATGGAGATGGGAGAGAAACGATGTGGGGCTGTAGGACTTGGGGAACGGGAGCTAGGAGGGCCTCTGCACCATGGGATGGGTTGTAGGCTTGACCTGGGGAGGGGGCTACAGGTCCACAGGGAGCCCCCAAAGACCCCAGGAGCTTTAGGCTTGCCCTGGACACAGACAACAGGGAGAGAGCAAAGCAGGGGGAAGCTCATGACAGCTGTTCTGCCCGCAGGCTTGCCGGGGGGCAGAATTCGACCAGGGGGTGGTTGTGGAATGTGACAGCGGAGAGCCCAAGCCAGACTGCGAGCCAGACTGCTTCTCAGACTACCTCTCCATCCCTCCCCAAACTGTTGTGATGTTCGCCTGCAGCCCAGGTAAGGGAAAGCCCCTGACACACCAGCACCGGCCGAAAAAGTTTCCTTTTGGAAACGTTGCCATCACAGGGCCACAGCACAGCCAACGTTTCTTTCCTTCCTTTACATTCTGCAGGCTACGTGGCCTTCCTCAATGTCTTTGGATCCATGTTCCTCCAGGCCCTGCTCAAAGTCCTGGAGGGAGAGGAACGTCACCTGGCCCTCAACCTCCTCATGACCCGCATTAACTGGGAGGTGGCCTTTTGCTGCCAGGCCAGGGGCACCTATGAGGGATGCAAGGAGATGCCCTGCTTCGTCACCAACCTGCTGCAGGAGGTCTTCCCCTTCTCGGCACCCATCGCAGAGGAGGCAGATGGTGTTTGAGAGTTGCCAGCTCTTCAGAAAAGCCCAAGGGGTGAAGAGCAGCAGCTTGGCTGCAAGAAGTCCCCTGCCATGCATGGAGAAAAAAAGACAAAGAAGGAAACCAAGAAAACCCCTCTGGAAAGGCGACTGGCTCAAGCCAGGATGTGCCGGAGCTACCGGGGGGAGGTTTTAACAAGCCAAGTGCAGCTGGAGCAGATCTTACCATGGGACCTTCTGCAGAGCAGAAGCATCTGATTTAAGCACATGACGGTGCAGTGACACCCAAACACCCTATGGCAGCAGCCCCACACCACGGCTACCCGCAGCTCTGGAGGGGGACATAAACCTCCTTCTCCCCAATTTTCTTACACGAAAGAGCTCCAACCTTGCAAATGCAATCTCACCCATTTGGTTTTTTTTTAATCTAAACAAACTTTCACAGGCCATGGACTTCTGTCTTAGAGAGGCAAAGCTGCTGTGTCTACTTGGTGTCCTACCCATAATGAAAATACTGCTGCCCTGCTGCAAAGATCACCTCATATTCAAGCTGTTTATTCATGAGGCTGTTCAAGAATTCAAAGCTTTTTAAAAAAAAAAAAAAAGTAGGATAGCTAGCAGGATTTGCAGGTTGGTAGGTTAACTTGGGACCTGGAGTGGAGGTCAGAGAGCGATCTGGGAGCATTTGCTTAAGGTAGCTCTTGGAGCTCACAACAGATAACTGGGTCTTTGTGAGCTTCCTTCTTAGGTGAGGAAGGGGAGAGGGGAAAAGCTCCGGCCGGGATATGAGTGGAGGGGATGGATGGGCTGGGACACCTCATGGACCTCATGTATTTGGTCAAGATGGTCCCCTCCCGTTGTCTCTTTGTTACCAAGAATAAGCATAAAAGCCACATCAATAAAAAACCCCGAAGGGCTCCTGTGCAGAATGCAGGGACATCCCTGGTGTGCGAGACAGGGGACCAGACCTCAGCCAGCCACACAAGGGAGGAAGGGGTTAAAGGGGCAAAGATCTCCATCAAAGCATGCTGAGTTTCACCCTGCGCTCATGCATTAAGTTCATACATTAAACCTCCACTGCCTCCACCCTAACGGCCTCTCCGATAAACCCTGGCCCTGTTGGTATTTCTCAGCGTAGCCCTGAGCAATTCAGCTCCAGTAAGCAGAGCCCAACCCAGCTGGGCAGATAATTTTGGTTTCATTTAGCATTTTTTCCACTCCTGGACTTTGACTCACAGGTAGGTGTGCAGCACAGCCACCCCAACACAACTCATGCCTGGCATTCACTGCATCCTGGCACACATGATGGGATGCTCATGCTGCTGCCTCTCTCCCTTTGAGCGACCTGCATTATTGTTCCTTCCCTGCTACATTATCTCTACCTGTAGGAATAAAATAGCTTTGAGACCTCTACAGCACGCTCAAATTAGGGTGGAAGTGGGCAAGGGGTTCAAAGAGCTCCTGGAGCACAATTCAGTAATTCTTGTTTCTTCAGGAAACCACCCCAAAGACACACAGCAGAGAGGCACTCTGATCTCCTCGTAGGAAGACCTGGATGGACGCTCAATCCGACAACCCCACATGCAGATGAATGGTGAATTTTCATTTTAATCCCCCACTTCCACCATTTTTCCTCCCCCCAAGCTCTCAGCAATGCTGTCAACAGGAAAACAAGTGGCCCTCCCTTTTTCCTAGCCCATCCTTTGCACTCACTGCCAGGGAGCTGGTGTCCAGCCAAGTTGGAGGAGAGTGCAGGAGGGTGGATTTTCTCCTTTTAGGGAAAAAGTGGGGAAAAGGAGGAAGTTTCTTCCATTTACTGCAGGAAGCAGCAGTAGATGCTACCCAGAAGCACCCTCATCATCTGCTGTTGATCATGGCACCTTCTCTTCCCCCTTCCACAGCTGGTCGGGCAGCAGCATCCCACGCAGGCTGCTCTCGCTGTGGGGGATCAGAAGGGGCACCACTGGGCTCGCTCTTTTCCAGTCTCTGCTGCTCAGGGGAGGCAGGCTGTGCTGGGATCCGGGCTGCATCCTCCTCAGAGCCTCCCTGTGGGTGAAAGAAGAAATACAACAGGAGAGATCCACAGCTGAGCTGTTAAAAGCAGTTTAAACTCTATCTTAAGGTCAGGTCCTAAATAACCCTGCTCACTCCCACACGTACGAGGGACTGAACTGGTCAAGAGGAACGGGATTGCCGGTACAGGGTGATCGTGAAGCAGACTGGAAACCTTTCAAATCTGCTCTCAGCTGAAACCTGTCTCGGCTCCTTCCGGCTGCAGGGTTAGTTGGTCACACAAGGGCCAAGTCTGCATGTGCAAATTGAGCACACAAAGCTTTGAACACAAACCACTCAGCTCAAAGTGTCGTTTTTGTTAAAACAAATTTTTTTTTTTTTTTTTTTTGGCAGAAAGAGGAACTAATGTGCACTGTTGTCGTCAGGTTTCAAAGCAGACCATACAAAGAACACCAAAAAAAAAAGTGAAAACTCAATGCTTTTATTTTTAAATCCATTTATTGATTTCACCACACAGAAAAAAAAGTACAAAGAAATATAAAAATTCTGATCCTTCAAAGCAAGTTGCATTTCACTGCAGCAGAAAAAAAAACATTTGCTGAATCAAACCGGCAAGGCAGCTGGCCTAAAAGTAGTAACATTTGGCAAAAAAACCTATGTACCGACAGATGCCATCCGTTCAAAAAACATGTTTTGTCCAAAGGGAAAAGGTTACACACACCTTGACCCATTTGAAACACATTGCATAAATTTAAATACCATAAAAATGAACAAACTGGGACTCATTCCCAGAGGTTTCACACAGCTTGGACAATTACAGCGACTGTTGCCAGAAACACGCCGCCCCCGGGAACTGCTGGGCAGGAGGAGATTTAGGGGGGAGTCCCCTCGATTTAGCCTGGTGTGAGCTCTGCCTCTCCCCAAAACCTGCACTTCCCAGGCACCGGGCATTTCTGTTTTGCCAAAGCCACACCAGGCACCAAGCAAACCAACAGTTCCCACGGAGACCTGATGTATGACCTCGTTAACCTGATGAACGAGCCCATGCTCAGTCCAGCCTGATGTTTGAGGTATGACGGTCCTGCTCTCCAAAGAACTCACTCCCTTCGGCTTGCTGTTAATAGCTAGCTGCTGCTAACGGGGGTGGGATTTCCAACACAACTTGGAATGACAGAGGACTGAAAGACATTTGAAAAAGCTCACGGGATAGAAAAGCAAGCAGATGGTGAAAAAAACCCTTTGTAAATTATTTTTCAACTAAAAAAATAGGACAAAGCAGGAAAACAGTGCGCACACTCTAAAAATTCAGGAATGAGCAGCTCAGAAGCATATGGTATTTCACATGTTGGAATGTTTTTTTTCCCCCACTGTCATTAGACAAAAGGCACCCCCTCCCACCCCGCATCCTGTCCATAAATCAACCACACAACAGTGAGCCTCAGACTTATCCTATGGGATCTCTGAAACAGTGGAGTCTTGTTGCAGGAGTTCCCACCCTTTTCAGAAGGCACATTTCCCCGAAGGGTTATGTTCCCAGACTTGTTTTCCTTTTTCTTCCCTCCACCTCACACTCCTGTTCTCCAAAATAGCTTCTGCAAGTACTTTTAGCATCAGAAAAGTTTACTACGGAAACCTTGAAAGCTATTTAAAGCCAAGAGGGACTTTCTCCCACTCTTTGTGCTTGCTAACAGCCCACAAAAAGAAAAAAAAGAAAGAGGATTTTTCTTTTAGGAGAGGGTCAAGCCCCTTCTCCCCTCTTACATGGGGAATGAACCGCTAGGAAAAGAAAAATACAGCTATAGCTTTCATGTCCAGACAAGGAAATGTCTTTGCCCTTGTCAAACATGACTATCTTTAGCAACCACAGGGCAGATTACCAATTGTTCACAACCTCGGGAAGGCCGGAAAAAGGCCGGCCTCATCCCCTGAGTCGCTTTCGCAGCCAGCTGGAGGGAAGTTAACCCCACCAGGATTCTTCCTGTGCAGTCAGTCAGCAAGTGCACGGAGAGGGCGACTCACGTACGGCTGGCATGAGCTTTGGGCATAAGACGGGTACCCGTGTGAAGAGCTCTAGATGCCTCATACCAATTTTTTTTTGCCCATATTGGAAAAAACAAAAGCATGAGCCAGGCAGGCACTTCATGCCCTCTTGAGAAACGTCCCATCTCAAACAAACATCTTTGGAGTAGAACTACAAAAATAAAAACAACCTCACAGCTATAACTTGTTAATCAACACATTTTGCAGCCTTAAATATAACCAGTACGTCCCAGGCCCTAGTTTAAGTGCTCCACAGTAATATCGAAGTGACCAGCTCAGTGACAAGCAGCCAGTAATGTGTACACTCAACCACACAAAACGTCTCAAAGCCAGGGCCAGCAGAGCCATGGAAGAGCAGGAAGAGGTTGTGCCGGTGATACAATAAGCCCTTTCATATGTCAGTCACCTGCTCAGGAGGTGACCTCGGGGAGAAGACGCCCTGTGGTGACTCACAGGCAGAAAAAGACGGCGCCCACGCTGTGGGCTACAACAGTTTCCCAAGGAGAGAGGCGCTCGGCAGGCACAGCGCTGCCAAGGCTTGTGCAACCCAGGGGACGAGCAGCCCCCTTGCCTCTCAACTGGGCAAGAAAGCAGCACTTCTCCAGCAAGAGCCAACGCTGAGTGCTCAGTCGTGGCGAGCTCTACAACCAATGGAGGCTCTATTCCGTGGAGCGGAATACTCCAGGGCCTCAATACTGCGTTTTTGAGGAAGAGGTTTGAAGGACTGCAAGTTTCATTCATCACAAACCCTTCAGGTTTACCGTACATTTTACATTACCACATAACTACATTTTACAAGGGGGAGGAACGCAATCTTCCAAGGCAAAGTCTGCTGCAACTACACTGCAGCAATTTGGCACGAAGCTTTCTAAGCCTAACCTGCCCTCCTTCACAGCATCAAACTGCAACTGTCACCTTTAGTGCAAACATCTGAACTCTGGGGATTGCGAGGGAAAAGACCCGCTTGGAGCATAAGACATGCGCGAGGAAATTT